CCAGTTTGCTTCTCTCCATATAAAAGTGGTCCCGTGCTTTTCTCCATCAGGAATGTGCAGGAGCACAGCACAGGAGGCAGTCCTCGAGTCTCAGCATAGTTGGACAATCAGGAAAAGACAGCACTGGAAATAAAATTGTTCATACTGGGGAAGAGGACTGAAGGTGAAGTAATTTTTAATTATTTTGGTATTTATTACTGAAGTTCTCAACAAGAGTTGAATGTGTTTTTGGTGCAATAAAGAAGTTGCAATACTTGCCGTTAGCTATGCTCTACCTAAGGATTTCAGTGCTGTTCTCAGAAGAACCAAAAAGGTGGTATTAAATGACCTCCAGCATGAAACAGTTTTGGCAGGGTTCATTTTCCGTTTTGAAGCACCCTGCAGTCATCCAGGGGCTGTAGGGGACACAGCCACCAAGAATCACCCCTGTGTCCGTGGGGTCACATACCATCAGCCACTCAAATGTGCTCCTTGTCACCTGCTCCCTGTCCCTTCCACACAGTGCTCTCAGCTGCTGTGATCCTGCTGCATGAGCAGCTTCAAAACCCCAGTAAACCCCTTCTCACCGCTGTATCTTGAGCATCAAGGAGAACTTCAGGCAGAAGCTTTCTCTAACTCTGGCCATATGTCCCAGACCTCACCCAGGACCTGTCGCTGCGGTCCCTCACCCTGCAAAGCCACTACCAACCCCTGCAGCCCAGCTCCTGCTCCCACCACCGCATCCTCCACATGAGTTCAGCACATTCACAGCCATCAGGAATGGCCTCTGCCTCCCCTCCAGGAACTTCCTGGATTAAAGATTAGAACGCATTAAGAAAAACCCCTATCAGACAGCACCAAGTTGTAATATTTAGCACTAGCATAAGGTGTGCGTATCAAGGTAAGACACAACCCGTGACGGAGTGAGTGGTGGGACTGTCCCAACGCAGGCGCATTGCCAGACACCATGTCCAAAACCAACCAGAAGGTCTGAAACAAAGAGACCAGACGCAGGAGAAGGGCTTTGGCATCTGGGTGTAGCAGAGCAGGACACATGGAGGATGATGCTCTCACCAAGAGATAGTGATGGACCAGCAGGACAGCCAGCACTGCCATGCCAGGGAGGTCTCGGGCTATCACACAGCACCAAGGCCACCAAGGAAGCCCGACAGCCCTGGAGTTTGTATCCCACATCCTCATTTTTATATTTCCTGAATCACAGATTAATAATTTTGATTTTTTGGTACCTCTCCAGTCCTTTAATACAACCTCTGTACTACTGTGATGGCCTTTGAACCCACCTGAAGCCTTCCACTGCACTGCAAAACCCCAGCAAAACCCAGTTATTGTTTTGTGATGCAGACATTCAACTGATGAATTTAAGCAGAGATAGATGTACAGAACAACAAATATAAGTATATAAGCACAAATTATAGCCTTGAATGAGCAGAGTGTCTTACTATTAGAGAAGAGCAGCCAAGGATGAGACTACTAAGTAGCAGTAATTTACACAAAATCACTAGATGAACAGTTGCAGAAATGAGAACTACTGGAATTTCTCATCTGGAAGGCAATCAAAGTCACACAGAAACTATTATAAACCACAGATGCCAATTTATTTTTTTCCCCACATATAGAATTCTCTATATAACCATGATCTGAAAGAAAAAGAGTCTTCCGCCTGTCTGGCACTCACCGTCTGGCCCTTCGCTGCCTTTACTCCTTTTATTTCGCCGGACGCGTCTACCTTCTTCTCCAACGTGCAGCTTCTCTTCAGAGTTGAACAAGTTCAGCAAGGCCAGCTGGAAGAGGAAGGACAAGTTTAAGCATCTTTGGCAAGGCTGGCTTAGCCAGGCAGAGAGATCGGAGCCTGAACCGCAAATCCTTTCCACCAGGAATGGCTCTGCTGAGCTGGGGAGGGGAAAGCCAAAGCAGATGTGAGATGGGTGCTCATGGGTGCCCATCTTATCCCAAAGAGAGCCACGAGGAGCTGTGTCCTCTTGGAAATAGTCTAAGACTTGGGGGAAAAAATAAACTTGAAGGGTTTTGACAGAGAGGAGCAGCCCCCTGGGGCATGGGGGGGATGCAGGGATCAAGGAGATCTATTGCTGGAAATAATCAAACACCCCAAACACCGATGCAATCATTTCTAATTATCCTCTGCAAAACTTGCTCAATCCTGGAGCTCTTTCACCAGTACTACTGACTGCCAGTAAGTTTTTCCTCTCCCAAGCCCTCTTCTGCAAGCCTCATTAGCTACTGAGATTCAAAGGTCTTCAGGGACCTCTAAATCCCATTCAGCATACCACATAAATTAACACTTTAAACACAAAGCAAGTACATCTTTATAACATCATTTTTGCCAAGAGGCAAAAAAAAATTTTATAAAGCGACCTCTTATTCATGAAAAAATAGTTGCTGCATTAAAAACTCTTTTGACAGTTATTAAATCACCATTCCTGCCCAGAAACTGGAATTTCGGTTTAGAAACTCCACCAGTCCTGCCAGCTACCCCAGGGCATGGCAGATCACCACCAGTGGCGTTTTCCCCAGCTATTCCCACTTCCTAAATAATTAATCTGTTGTGAAGTTCCTTGAGTGCCAAACACCTTGTTACTACGCCGGCCAACAACCAGCGCTGCTCTGACCAGGGTGGGGTTTTCTTTGCGCTGAAGAAACCAAATCCCAGTTATTTAAACCATAAAAATACACATGCAAACCAAATACAGCTTAAGAGAAGAAGGAAGAGGCTTCAAAAAAGCAGCACCAAAAGGTTATCGAGTGCACTATTGCACCAAGAACAAAACCTGTGGCATCAAAAGCATCTTTGAGACAGCAGAGAAGAATAAACTCCTTCTGTGAATTGCTAGTTAAGAACAAAGGCTCATTCTGGCCATAAAAGTCCCTATCAGAAGTAATAACCATTAAAGTTGTATCATCCTTTGACATATCCTGGGGAGTTCTTGCGTTCCCTCTCACACCCCAACCCACCTCATCCCGAATTCCCAAGTTATTGCTGTTTAACCCCATCTGTGAGCTGGTAGGGCCACATTTACTGCAATTCCTGATGTTTTGTCATTGCAATGATGGTTGGGTCCAAAAGGACCCCGAAACGCTGTGGGATGCACCACACAGTTATACTTGGACCTAAAAAGCAACAAGTAAAAGCCAGCACTCACCTACCTACACAGCGTTGGATAGAGAAATCAAGGGATGAGCAAAAATGAGTGAACATTGCTTGTTGTGGTTTTTTTTAAACCACTTACTTAAATCAAGTTGAAACACTGCAGAACTAATGGGAGGAACAAATTGCACTACAATTCTGGTTAAAACTTCAACGAAATCATCACCGCTCCTTTTGAACACCGTTACTGCTTCAATCTCTTATTTGAACTTTCCAAAATATGATTAAATAAACGCACTGGAAACGGAGCGGCAGGGAACCAGCTCGATACAACGTGCAGCTCCCACAACACCGCGATGCCTTTGTCCAAGCGATATTTTTCATCTTGAGAAGATTTGGTAAAGGCGCAACCCTAATTTTCTTTTTTCTTTTCCTTTCCTGGCTATTACAATTTTAACACTACATCTGCAGGCTTGGAAAGCTGTAGCACAATGTTAAGCTCACCCCATGCCACCTCCTTGTCCACAACTGGGCACTGACGCAGAGATTAGGGATAAATACAGCGATTTCTTTTCCTGCCAGGTACAACATGGCTCCTCGCATGCCATCCTCCCAGCTGTGCTGTAAAGAGTCAGAACTACCAATGTGCTTGGAATAATTCAAAAAGTTTCACCTGGAAAATCATAAAGATCCGGAAAGGACAGAATACCCCGATTTCTTATTTTGAGTGATGGGGTTTGTGGTTTTCAGTGAAACAATCCAATTTTCTTACAAGACATGAAAGCTTTTCACGATCTGAACAAAACCATTTAAGTTTAGTCTCAGAAGGAGAAATAGGAAAGATTGGCACAGTATGTTTATTTTCCTGGACAGTTAATCATAATAACCCCTTTATTCACAAAGCCTGTATAAAGTCTTCTCCAGCCTGAACAACTTCAACTCTGCTATTCTGTTTTCATCCAGGTTTTATTCTTATATTCCAATTATCACTGAGCAGTCAGAATCAGACTCTGCAGCTTTGGGTCTGGACGCAGGGGTGCATGGCATTGTGCCTTAAATTAAACGAATTTATTCCCTCTTATTTGGTGTGGCCGCAATGAGGGAGCACATTTGCAGAATGGGACAAGCAGATGTTTGCCACCCATCTTGCAAAATAGCATGCAGCCAGACAGATGCAAAAGGAGAAATAACCGTCAGTGAAATGCTGCTGGCTGGACACCAGTGCAATGTTAAGACACGGATAAAGCAGCACTTCGCATGTCAGAAAAACACGTCTTGGTTGATGTGAACACTGCCCAGCATTGTAAAAATAACCCAGAAACATTTTGTACAAATATCAGTAGCATCCTTTCAGGAAAACGTGGAGCAAACACACTTGCAGGGCTTGAACGGGCACTTGTCCACACACATCCCCCCAGTAGTGGCTTGTGATTTGGAGATGCAAGACCTGGGCCCTTGCCGGCTCCAGCAGATGAGATACTGGAGCTGGCGGAGCAGGACCATGGATGTGGGTGGCCCCAGCCCAGGGGATGGTTTTGTGTGGTGCTGTGCCAACACATCTGCACCGGCCGAGCCCCCTTCGCTGTAGCATCCTGGCTGCCACATCCAGCCCTTTCGGAGGAGGTCTGAAAGAAATTATTGTCCTGATTCATTGTTTCGCTGAAACTCCTCATCCTCAAAGTCATGGTGAATCAATTCTTTCAGCCCCTGAGCTTGCAGACCAGGAGTAATTTTGAGGAGCCCTGCAAGCACTTACCTGCTCCCAAAAAAGTAGTCTTACTTTCCACAACAACAATAGAAAAGTTTGTAACAATCACCATTTCCCTTCTCCCCCAACCTAAAGCCTTCAAGTTACCTTAATTCTGGAAACACCACATAAAGCCATTACGACTCCATACTTTTAATCAAGAGGATCACTATAGGATGCAAAAAGGTCAAAAAGCCAAGTAAGGAAAACTCCCGGGGGAAACTCCACCTGAAAATAGCCTAAGAAACAATAGTCAAGGCATGCTCACCAGAATGAGCCCGTTCTACCTTGGTTGCTCTCAGCAAAATAAAGAAAAGCAAAGGCACGCATACAAAAATGCTGATTTTCTCTGCAGCCACATGCAGAACCTGCTCTGGAAATGCAGAACAAAGCTGCTTTGAGATGTCAAGGGAGCGCAGTGCGAACCCCCAAAATAACGTAGTCTGCAGTCAAACTCATCTGGTTTGTAAGGACAGGCATTCCACGCCCTACAGAAGTAAGAACAGAGAGATGTATGTATACACACATGTAATTTTTTTTCAAGTCACCATAAAACAGGAAGCTTTCTTCAGGCTGTGAAACCCAAATACACCACAGAGTTATGGCTAGATATACACACCACATGTAATAAGAAAAACAACGCTGGGGTGCCGAAATAACCGCTAAAGTTTGCATATTGAACTGCAGCCCTCCGCAAAAGCCTTAAGTAACGTACATCCCTCAGAAACACTTCAAGAGAATGAAGAACCACTGGATACCAAGGTATTTATTTCCAATGGTCAAACAGCTTGAGAGTGAGAGAAGTTGAAAAATAAACCCAACCAATGCAATTATGTGCAAAAGGTGTATTTTTTTTTCCCCTAGGCAAAGCCAAGTTTGGTAGGAAGAACCGGTGTCTTTTGGAGCACATTTATCACTAAACAAAACCCCTAAAGAGTTCTTTGCATGCTGCATTATGAAGTTGGCTTCCACTTAATCATGAGAAAGTCAGACCAGACAGCTTTAGACCTAATCAATAAAAACCATGCTCTCCTACACCACAATATCTTAAAGCACCAGAGAAAAAGAGCATGAAATCATCCTCTTGTATTACAGTTTAATGGTATTATTAAAATCAAATTCCCTCATCGTTTTCAATTTTGGAGATCATTAGTGTGAGAAGACTAATAGCAAGACTAAGCTCTGCAGAGGCACTCTCTGCAAGCAATACTGCTGTATTTCTGGTGCTCTGAAGTTCAGACGTTGGAGGCTGCAGTTCAGAGAAGCAGCTACTTGAATATCAGCCCCATTGTGCCCCATCAGAAATTCACCTCTAGTAACGTGGTAGAAAAAAACATTCAGGAGATTACTTATTTTCAAACAGATTAGAAGGAAACTTGGGGAGTAGCTTTGCTTTACTGATAAAGCAAACAAACAAAACCAATACTCAAAATATTTTAAGTCTTCTTTTTGTCATCATTACTTTTTCCTCATAAAAAGGCAAGCAGCAAAAGGGTAAACAATTTCCATTTCCACATTACAAGAATTTATACACAACGTCTTGTCTGCAAGAGAAGCAGCAGCCCTGAATGCAAAACTCTTATGATATATAACATGAGCCAGAGCGTGGCCAGAGATGGGGATGGAGAGAGTAGAGATTATATTTTCTTTGAGCTGGAAATCTCATAACCCATCTTCCTCCCCCAAATCTGGCGTTTTCAGCCCAGCTTGGCTGTGTGCATCCTTTCCAAGGTCTGGAGCAGGTTACACAACGTCCTCTGCAAACCGCTTCACTGCCTTTTTTCTCAGAAAGCTCAGGTATGATCCTCTCCTTCTTGGTAAATCCATGGCCCTTAACATGCTACCACCGCTTTTAAGGAGTGGATTTGAGATGGCTTCGATCTGCCAAGCATTTCTGTCCTTGGCTTGAAAAGCCTTTCCAAAGAGAACTG